TTTTTTTACTCCTTTGAACACTCTCCTAGTTTTAATTTCGCGTATGGTATTAAGGGACTGCGCAATATTTCTTCATCTTTCTTTGATCTTTTTCCTTGCTTTCGCACACAATATTGCTCTTGAACTACTTTCGCTACATTGCTAATAGAGTAAAGTATGTTTTTCTATCAAATTGAGAAATGGTTGTTAATCCGCAAACAAAATTAATGCAAACGTTCGCCTCTATCGACTAACTTTTTTTCTCTCTCTTGAAATAAAGCGCCTAAAAAAAATTCACATTCAGTACTTTGAAACATTTGATTTCTTTACATTAACCCTCATTAACCCTTTTTTTACTCCTTTGAACACTCTCCTATGAAGATGTCGTTGAAAAGAATAATTTTTACTCTTCAGCTAAACACAGGAAAAACAGTAAAATACAGGCTCGGTTATCAGTTCATAAACCTAATAAAGTTGATTTTGATACTATTAGATGCTAATCAGAGCTATGACCTCAAAAAATTTCGGCGGATTACATATAAATGTTATTGTTTTATCACTAAGCATTAAAGATAGCTGTTGTAAGCCATAGAGTTTATTGTTCCGTAGAAATACATTTACCATTTCTAATTACTATCTGAATACTAAAATATACGATAATGCAAGTCGGTTTATCAGTCTTCAGTTGTCCAGGCTTCCTGGAAACACATTAAAAGGATATAATTAGAAATAAGAAATAGCACGTTGATGATGTAGCCGAAATATGAGAAATATAACTCACATGCTTCAAATTACTGTGAAAGATTAGAATCACATAATCGTTTATCGGTATATGTGGGAGTTAGGAATTTGACTTAATATTTTTCTTAAATAATAACATTGATATTACCTTATTAAATCATCACACAAATTTGTAGACCATAAAGGATAGGCCATAACCAACGCCATTCCAACACTCCTGGGAAGGACCATCCTTGTCATAATGTACTTCGGAATCTGATCCACTCCAACATTCCATCAGATTGTAGGTCCCAAAATATTTATATCTGAATGTGATTGGTGAAAATTGCGGTGAAATAACAGTGTACGTTCACTAATAAAACCCATATGAAATAGTACTAACGGCAATATTACCTGATCTCTTTAAACACGTGAAACAAAGTCTAATAGTCAAAGTGTAAAAATTTGTGATCGCAAAGTATATAGGAAAAACGAAGAACAAGAACATCAAAGTGTATTTCACGGGTTAATGATTAAAATGATGAAAACCACTTTATTCTTTCTTTATGATAGCCAAGGAGGCTCTTTTGGCTCAGCATTTCAATTGTGCAACGTCGCCGACTACGAAACATAACCAATTTAAAACCGATGACATTGATATAAATATTATCATTACTRTGCCGAAGGTCTGCGGCACGGTTATAAAATGCATCGACTTTATTATTTTTTTCCCACATTGCAGTTTAGCAATCCCAAGGGATCCATAATCCAATTATTTTAGAGCCATTATTTTAATTTTTACAAAGACTATAAAATCGTACTCGAAAAGCGTCGAACTTAGGATACACGGGTTAGATTCTCGACTCGATCACTTCTAAGCGATTCTTTTTGCTTTCTTTCTTTTTTTTACTGAAATATACTTATTCTTATTTTACCTGTATATATTTGGTTTACATATTTTACACGCAAGATCATACTTGAATAGCGGCGTTGAACTGACGATCTCGGTTTCGATTCTGGACTCGAGCAACTTCTAAACAATTCTTTTTTATTCTTCCTCTTCTTTTTTTAAACTTTAAAATATACTCGTTCTTTTTTTCTTTCTAAAATCATTTTATGCAAAGTAAACTTCCATCTTATAAAATCTCTTAGGATAATGCGAATGCAATTTGAATACTAAATTTTCGCTGCAATGATAAAAATATTCAAAAAGATGATGTCAAAAGATCATACGCAAAATCTATCGAATTGATCGCGGCGCTGGTAAAAATATATATTAGCGTAACCTGGACACGACATGTACTTGTTACATTTATATGAAAGTCATTGATTTTAAATTGGTTCCTGTTTTCTATTGAGTCCTACACTTGCGCGCGAAACGGATTCCTTGTTTTCACACTTCTAGTTTCTAGTGCTTTTAAGAGTATTAAATCATTTGCCGTGACTATTTACCCTCGTTGCCTCGCCAATTTGGCACACCAGTCTAGAACTGTCTTGATTTCATCCGATCTCAGCTTTGATTTTTTTAAGACAGCTAACTTTTTTTAGGGAAAGGTAGACTGCTATCATAAGGATCATCCTTGAAACACCCCACGCTCCTGTAGCGACCTAAAAATGAAAAAAGAAAAATAGAAATAATATTGGATGTTCTCGTTCAAAAGTTATTCAGAAGAATCGGATTAAAATACCTGGTTTTGGGGTAATTGGGTTTGAAACTTTTCCACATCTGCCATTTTGAAACAATATATCGTCTAGTGCGATATCAGAAAAGAAATTTCCACCACGAGTGGATTCAAAGGAAATCTGATAAAAAGCACAATATCATATCAAATTAGAAAGAGCGCAATTTAATCCAACCATAGACTGATCCCGTAGTCTTCGGGACAAAAAAATACTAAGCGATAGGGAACTGTGTCCGAATTATGAAATTATTAGTCTAATCAAATCAAAACGTACATTTACTAGTCTGTTTCACACCATAGCAGAATCAACTGAATAGTCTCCTTCAAGGTTACCTGCGCCATCTTGAAAGGTAGCCGTGCCTTTACATCGAAACGAGACAACCTTTGAGCGTGCAATGATAGAAACCTTCTTTCACACCTACAGACAATTATTCACAGGTTTCTATCATTGCATGCTCAACGGTCGTCTCGCTTCGATGTAAAGGCACGGCTACCTTTCAAGATGGCGCAGGGAACCGTGAAGGAGACTATTACAGCAGAAATTACAGTAAGGTAAGCATGACATACAAAGCATAATACAAAGTTATCCTAGTTATCGAAGTTTTGTCACATCTTCATACATCATGCGCTCGTTCAATTGAACGTCATGATTCTCATTGAAAATTATAAAAAAGTAGATTCCATATCCCCACCTTGTACTCATTGTTGCTGACAAAATTCGCATTAGTTCTGTGCCATCCTGGACCCTGGTCACCAGACTTTGAGAATATCTTTGATTTTTTTCCAGTTTTTGAGTCGATGGCATACACATTTAAAGCACCGATACCGCTGCCGTACATACTGTAGGCAAACTCGATACAGCGACCTTTGGGAGCTGCGGGGAAGACATTGCTTTGAAGTTTTGCTACTTGACTTCTGTTAACCTGAGACGCTTCGGCATAAACGTAGTATCCTTGAAAA